CTGGCAATTCTATACCCAGCCCAATCTGGCCTATTGACAAGATGTACTCACTTTTTCTGGAAAACATTTATAAACACATAGAATAACATGTTTCAAAGCTCAATTTTAAGAAATCAAAGCCCAAGGGTGTTTAATTCAAACTCAATTTAAACCAATTTTTCAAGCACAAGATGAACATGCAAACATGCATGAATTCAAACCATTTTGAAGCTCTGTTGAAGCTTGTTCATGAGGTATACAGATTGAGCACTGACATACACTCCCTCATTAACAGCCACGATGTTCTGCACAATTCGGGCCTCAGCCAAAGTAAACCCTGATAAGAACAAATCCTCCGTTCCATGTTCGATTTCCAAGACTGGTGTAGACACTTCCGGCGGCGGATGGATTGACGAATTCCTAAAAACAATAGCTACCCCTTTCCCGTGAGGGTACTTCAACATCTGAAGCAAGGTGGAAGAGACTGCCTTGACCTGGTGCAACCACGGTCGCCCCAAAAGTAGGTTAAAGGTTGCAGGAACGTCCAAGACATGGAATTCAATGTTGTGTTATCCTGGACCAACCTGAGTCTAAATTTTGACAGTCCCCATCACCTCCCTGCTTGTGTTATTATAGGCTCTGATCACTTGAGTAGTTGGCACGAAGTCCGCGGGCTTCAACCCAATTGCATATGCCGTCCTTGACGGGCACATATTAATAGCGGATCCCGTATCGACAAGAACCACCGGTACCCATTTGCCTCTACATTCCACCGAGATGTAGAGAGGTTTATTGTGATTTGCGCCTTCAGGTGGTAGTTCTTTGTCAGAAAAGGTCAACGTCGGGGAACCTCCCCCCGGAAAAACCAATCCAACCAGCTGCTCCGGCATGGTGTCTATAGAAAGCTTGGCCTTGTCCATGGCTGAAAGGACAGCCTGCCTGTGTACTCGTGATGCCATAAGCAGTCCCCAGATGGAGATGTCTGCTTGTATTTTCTTTAACTGCTTCAGTACAGCCTCTTCTTCGATTTGCTTTTCTTTCTGTCTCTCAGCTTCCTTATCCTTTCCGGATGTTTCTAGCTGGTCTAGTCGCGGGGGTTTGAAATACCGCCCACTTCTTGTCCTATGATCGACCTCGCCGATATACCAGGTATCGTCTGGCTGGTTACTCCTCCAATCTTCATCTGTGTGGGCGAGACATAAATCATCGTCTTCCCACCACATTCCGTCGGCGGCCGACAGACACCTGTCTGGCCCCGGTATGATTGTACTCACAGTACCTTCAGCCCACATGCCCGCAGCATCTTCTATTCCTGTGCCCACAGCACTTTCGGCCCCTTCACAGGCTTTTGCCTTCCTGATTCTCTTAGGATCCCAAAAATTTTCTTGTTTTGATTGTATCAGTGCAGTTTGTGGTTCTGCATCCACAATGCTCAAGTCCCGAGCGAAATTCTTCATACTGGCGCTCTCCGGCAATGTATTCTAACTTCCGGCCCTTCCGGCCACAATTGATACTCTCGCCCCTGCTGGGCCCTGTTCTGGTTGGAATTCTTCCACAATATCCGATTGATCATCCAGCCATCCGGTAACCTCTGCTGATTTCTCATAATCAAACTAGTTGACTGCCGCGCCCCCTGATTCTTGGTCATTGAAAAACTGTAGGTTGGCAAAGTCCTCTTCTATAGCCGCCACTTCATCTGTTCCCTGCTCAAATCTATCCCCCTGGATCACACACAGTTCTGCTTTCTTTGGCAATTCTACACTTGGCTCAGACTGGCCTGCTGACACGATGTAATCACTCGGATCATAGGCTTCCCCAACAAAGTTCCCAGACTGCTCAAACCCTGATTCAACAACTCCATCCTCCTCTGCAATCTCTCCCGTACCGTCTTCAATAGCCGCCACCATTGGCTCAGGTTGGGTTGTGGAGGTGCTCAGTATGCACAAAAAGTCAGTGCGGTCAGGGAGGAACACCTCCGACTTAGGGAGATGGGACGGGGTGATATAGATGCTAGGATCGTAAGACACGACCCCAGTCTGGATAAAGTTGATTCTTTTGGGAGGTGGAGCTTGGTTGTGTGTAGGGAGTGGGTTGGTTGTGACATTGGGTCTTTCTGGTGGCAAAATCACCTGTTTGTCAACGAGATCTTGAATCTCGTGACGCAATCTGAAACATTGGTTGGTATCATGACCGTGTTGTTGGTGATATGCGCAATATTTGGCTGGGTTGTGAGAGGGGGGAAGTGGGTTTGGTAGTGGCCTCGGCTCCAGGGGTTTTAGATGCCCTTTCCTAATTAATACCCCTAGAGCCTTGGACAAGGGCATGTACAATGGGGTGAAGGTCCTTTGGCCTCTAGGTTGGTATTTGGTGGTCTGTGTATTGCTTCCGGATGTACCGGAGAAAGGTGTGGCTGCCATGGGTCTTGGAGGGGAGGGGGAATGGTGGCGACCATGTTTACCTCCGAAGTTCTTGCAGTTGCAACGCCACTCGGGCCTGCATTGTTGTTGCGGTTAAAGGTTCTTCTGGGCTGTTCCTTATCCTGGTCAATCAGACCCTGCTTCATTGCATCTTCAATTTGTACCCCCATCTCATGCAAATTAGAAAAGGTGGAAAAGGGGAGTACAATCATCTTTTGTATCAGTTTTGGCTGGGGATTACGCACAATCATCCTGATCTGGTCCTTATCGGTGGGCCTTAAAGTCATAATTGAGGCCTTCGCCCTCCACCGGGTCACGAAATTTGAGAAACTCTCTTTGTGCTCCTGCCTTGTTGTTTCGAGATCACGAGTTGTAATCTCAATTTGGGTGTTGTAAGTGTATTGCGCAACAAAGGCCTCGGCCATTTCATCCTAACTTCGCTTGACATCATCCTCCAACTTCGCATACCAGATAGCGGCCACACCCGACAGGGTCTGGCCAAATAGCGAAAGCTTCTGCGGTCTGGTGAGGCCTATCGGCCGTAATATATCTGAGAATAGCCGGAGGTGGACCATGGGATCACCAGATCCGTCGAAGTGATCGATCTGCGGCATTTTGAATCTATCCGGCAACGTTACAGCCACGTCGGTATATTCGTCCTTGATATCCGAGATAGCCTTTACCCCTTGGGATTTTTTGAACAACTTCTCAAGCTTGCTCAATTTCAGTGCTGTATGGTCTACCTCAAACTCGAAGGGAGAGTCCAGTTGATTGATAGGCGTAGGTGCCTTAGATAGCTGGGGCAGAATTGGGGGGCGGAGCTGGCCCCGTTGGTATGTCCGTATCTGCCTGGACATTTGGTGCCTCCTCGGGTGCTAGGATTCCCGGTGGGGGAGGAACCGGGTGTGAAGTAGATGCTCCCGTTTGTTGTTGCAGCCTGGTAATTAATTCTGCTTGCTGGGCCATGATCTCGGCCTGTTGTTTGGCAAACTCATCCCGGCGAACAGCATCCTGCTGCATGGCTCTCATGGTCTCTTGCATCTGACGCATCATTTCCTCAACTCCTATCGGTGCCGCCATACTGTCCTGATTTGTCTGAACTATTGGCAAGTCTATTTCTATAGCAATAATTGGGATCTCAATCTGACTGTCCACTGATGGGGTAATCCACTGCTCTGGCAACCTCTGTTCGGATACACTGCGTTTCCTGGGTCTTTGCTTGATAACCGGGGGTAGAGAGTGGAACACTGGTTGTCCGTCAACCAGATCCTCGGATCGATTGAGTCGGCGACCTCTAGTCCAGAGTGTTTGGGGAATATCTACTTGGTCGGAAGCAATTGTGCTAAAGCTACCTAGTAAAAAGATAAATAAAGCAATAAGGAAATAAATAAACAGATAAACGGACAGCATATCAACTTAAAGTAAATGCACAACACACAGTCGGGCATGACAACACACGGTCGGTAAGCTGAACACACACTGTCCTCAATCACTGATCGTTATCCCTGAATCACTGTCCCCAAAGACTGAATCTGATACCCGCAGATAACTAATTTTCAAACACTAACTAATGCCCGCAGGCCTAATGCCCCAAACTCGCAAACTGATACATGCAACCCCTGTAGAGACGCACTCTGACAGCACATAACAGATAATTGAGAGCCAAAACACCCCTATGTTGGGGGAGGGTTTCCCTGTCCTATTTTGTCTGGAGCTAGGGTTTCACTACGCACGCAGCGGTTTCAAACAACCTATATTGGGTAAGCAACCTGTCCTAGTTTGGAATGGTCACTACGAATTCCGAATATGCACTAGGTCGAATGGTCGAAAAGGGTGCCCCGGTAAAACTGGGGTTTGTGTTCCCATACTGGCAGAGCTTATAACCGGTCAGCCTTATGGTCATGCCTTGACAAAATAAGCCTCCGGAAAACCGTTCAGGAATAGCAGATGGCAAACACGGTGTCCTAGGCGCACCAATGCAAATGTAATGCAAAGAAACACATAAGTGTAATCAAAACAAGATATCATGAGTTCGAGTCAAGTTCTCTAATTCCCCAGCGGAGTCGCCATAAACTGTAGACGTCCCCGAACGCCCCGGGAGGGTGAGTCCCCCGTTTTGTTCATTTGGGCTCACTACAGCTCGGACTCAAATTGTCACGGTTCTTAATCTGAACCAAAGAGTCCAAATCTGGCAAATCGTTTTGAGAAAACAGATTTTTTGAAAGAAGTGCCAAACATGGACTGTTTTGCCAGATACAGAGTCGCCACCTAAATATTTTAAAATGGGAGAATTTTTTGGAGAAATTTAGGAAACCCTGACTCATTGCCTAAGGCCACGTGTCCATCATCACCAAAGTTGCCTCGGCTCGGGAACTTGGTACGATTGGGGAAGGTCACTTCGTGAGCACCCCCGCTCGCCCGATCAAAGATCGGCCTCTACTAACCATGATATCTAGTTTTGAAAACTTTATGCGTTCTTATTCCGGTTATTAGCGCTAGATTTACTATGTGATGCGCACAGCATACAAGTATAGACTGGATCGTCTGAATTGGAACAAAACATTTCATGTTTATTTTTGAAAAGTGGTTTGATGGTGCTACCCGCAAATAGGCTAAGACGTGGATTTGCCACCCTCGGGTGGGCTTAGAAAAATATGATTTTGCCACTTACTCAGTGGGCTTAAAACTCACAGTCAATGCATTTATTCCAATCAAATAATCCAACCTTCACCCACAGGCATTCAGGCAGTTATATTCACATAAGCATATAGCCTCATGGTAAGTATGCTATCATAGCAGTCACTTACACACATGCAAGGATGTTAAAGCATAAACACTTACCGAGTACTCCAAGCCAAAACAAAAGATATGTTAGAAATCCATGCATGATCCTAACTATACAAAAAATGCCTAATGCAACACATGCAAAATGCAACTAAGATAGGCTCGGCTATTCTAAAGATGGCATGTGAAATGCTACAACTAACGTGTATTCAACTTGGAATTGAGATACAAATGCAGTTACTATGATGCGCCGAGCCCGGTGCATGCAAGATAGATGAATGAATGCAAACATGCTATCATACTGTATGCTAATTGAAACATGCCATAATCTAACCATCATAAGCTGATAAATAAAAGGGAGAAAGACGTGGGGTTGGAAGACATACATCACACATACGCACACTTATTACAACATTGCCCTCGTGCAGAGGGTCTGAATAAATAATACAGTCCCAAATGAATAGTACACGCCCGGTCTGCCTCTGTTTGCAATTATTCTTGGGATGCGTGCCAGGCGCCTGAAGGTTGTTGATTTTTGATTTGCTGCAACAGAGAGCAACAAAGGGGCATGGCAAAGTATTTTCACATATGTATGCATGACTACTCTTCAAGGAGGGTAGTCCTCGATCCTCGTGCCACCAATCACGCATCTCGATGCATGATGGCCGAGGTGTCGATTTGCACGACTCAATATGAAATGAATGCACATATGGACACAATCAAGGCCTAAACTCCATCATGGGTAATCCGGAATGTCGGCGACAGGGAATTGAGACACGTTCCGTCACTCGGAATATGAAACGTCCCTCGTTTCCCGTGCTTGGGCTAACTCCTATCCCAAGAATTATGCAATATGCATGATATGCATGAATGCAATCCTAACATGCAACCTAGCATACGCAATGCTATGAAATGGCATACACAATGCATGATGTAACAAGGCATACACAACGCCTCTAACATACAACGTAGTATACACAATGCTGCGAAATGAAATGGCATACACAATGCACGATGGACTTACATCAACATGAGTGGGACCTTAGCCACACTCACATCAGTAGCCATTAGATAAAAATGAGACTCTCGAAACGCGCGCACGCATGCACGCAAAAACAAGGACCGAACCTAAGGCACAACATGCAACTCTAACAAGCAGGGCAAGGCATGGAATATGGCATACAAGCATGTAGATCCAGCACTGAAATATGATGCAAAATGGTCCCGAATTATGAAATATGGCACCCGATGCATGAGATGAATCCCGAAACTCGAAACTAGGCACATGGAATGACTTGTAGCATACAAAGCATGCATTATTTGATCATGAAACATGAGGACAGAGCCAAGGCAGTCCCAAAAACATGGACATTTTCAGTTCAAAGCATGGCCAAAAGATGCTAGCAAGATGGACTAAAATAACATGCAATTTTGACTAGCAAACATGGTTACATGGAAAGTATAGGATGCACATGGAATCTCACCAAACCAGAAAAAATCAGTGAATAAAACATATGAAGATAGGCCAAATAACCACTGATATGCAACCATGACATGCAAAAAATAATGAGTTACTTTGGAGGGCCATGCAAGGAGTTATTAAGCACATGCAAGGTAGACATTTAGCATGGCACAAACAACTTTGAAAATCAAATATGGTAGTCTCAAAAACTCACTAAATTGAGCCTAGAAAGTGACTCCAAAGC